AACGGTATCATCAAAAAGAATGTTCGTTTTGTTTGCCTTTGATGAAAAATACCCATCCATGTTGAACATAAATCGAGATACTTGCAATTGAAGGAGGTTGGGGTTACCTGATATCAGTGGTGAAACATAAACGAGAGTATACGACAGGCAAAGTTTGGCGACTTCCGAATCTTGAGTGTTCTTGGAAACTGCAAATGTACCTTTTTGTGTCTTTGAACAACGTTTTTCACTAAAATCTACACAAGAATATGTAGAAATGGATATACATGGTGTTGAGCTCAAAAGTAATACAGTCAATAAAATTGACTTCGTAGATCTGGGTTTTCTCGGTTTTCATTATTGTGACGAGCGTTTGATTTCTCCACGATGCTTGACATTAATTTTAACTCTTCTTATATTGTCCGCGGTGTACCAGTTCAGCTAGTGTTCGACATACAAGTAGCTCGGTTGTTTACAGCCATAACAAAATCTACGAAACCCCAGCAAATCCTTCTGATCTGTAATCAAACTGTATGTTTACTGCATGGGACATTCATTTTGTGCCCAGTCCGGTTTTTATTTTACACGAATAATATTAGAGTTAGTTTTGGAGAAGTTCGTGGTTCAGAAAATTTGGCTATCAAAATTAGTTGCGTGAAAACGTAAAATGGTATTCCGTGTAGTGTAGTAAGAGTTAACTCATCACATCGAGGGCGTTCATTCTGCTCATTCAACGTATTTAAACAGGGTTTTTTTTTTCTCCTTTCTGTTTCCATTATGTGAAATTTGTAACAGGCATGAAGCAACATGCATACTATGAAATATGCAAACTCTTGATTCTGATCTGGGTATGATGGTTCGAAATGTACGGAAAGTCAATTCCTTTGTTCTGATGCTGATTAGACATATTGTGAGAATGCGTGGTGAAATTGTCAAAGTAATCGAAGTGAAGAAACTGGCATTTTCCCGAACGTTCGTGAATTTTTAATCGAATTTTATCGTTATTTTTGGTTTAACACCTTTTATGCCCATTAAAGAACATATTTCTGTGTGGAATTTACTGAAAAACATTGATTAAATGCCCACAAAATGTACATTTTAAGTTTTCATGGACTCTCATGCTAAGGAAATAACTCATCTTTGGTGGCCGTTTTGTCACTAATTATACCTCTGAAAACGGTGACCCCCACCTCTTTCAATCACAAATGTCTCGACTTCTATTCTAGATAAATGGACTTTTTTCATTCTTTCACCCTAAGCAAGTCAAATGAACAAGCTTTAAGATGATACCAATAACTCTACATGTCCAAAAATTGACGAGCGCATGATTCCACCACGTCGTGACACATTATTATGTCTGCTACGTTCCCAAAGAGCTAAGCCCACGATACCGCACCACCAAATGCCGCACAACCGTCGTGTGGAATCCCGCACCATGTCATGCTCCGACTCCAACAATCAGGGCTGACGCACTCACTGGCATGTTGTCGTAATCCGGGATTTTCCAGGTTTCCCGGGCTTTATTGGCTCCAGCTCAGACATCTGGCTACCTCAGGATTGCAACGTTCTATTTGACATTTTTGGTAGTGCTGGGCGGCTAGGTTCCCGATTATTGAATGCTAGGGATCATAGTAATCGACTCCGAACGCAATTACTTAAACTTTCTAATAATGGGATTTCTTCCCGTGGTTACCTGGTTGGTTCCGAACATCTTCATAATTTAGGATAACTTTGATTTTGGAACACTACGCAGCATCACCTTTTATTTTTCAAAAATAAATTCTTTAAAAAGACGATTTGAATTACCTATATTTTTTTTTATTAAAGTAACTGGTAACCGTCGGTTTACGTAAAAAAAAAAAAGAGTCGGAACTTTTCTTCCGTAGCATTAATCGTGGGAATTGGTCAAAGATAGTACAAGACAAGATGGGCCACTTCTCTCTTTGAGCCAATTAAAAAAGTGTCCTCAAAATTTGGTGG